CCCGTTTGGTAGCACGAAAATTGGCTGTTTTGGCTGATTCTGCTGAAATTTATGAAGTTCTGGCTAAAGTGGCTGTTTTGGCTGATCCTGCTGATTTAAGAAAAAAATATTTTGAAAATATATTTCATTAATAAAATAAAGAAAAAATTATATGTAAAAATAGCTAAAATGGTCATCTACAGTAACTTCAGCCAATACAGCCAGAAAAGTAACTCCAACCTTACATTTGGTGAAAAAGTTGGCTGATAAGCCTCATAAGACGAAAAACGGTGTTACCAAACGGCCTCTAATAATAGGTACGATTTATTTATATATTAGGATAAGAGGGAAAAACGAAACACACAATAAATCAACAGTAAAGACCTATTGTGGAGAACAACATATCTATTGTCAAGATGCGCTCCACCCTTGACAACTGATCTCCCATTATTGCGCCTTCTATACTTAGGATAACCTTCATCGTCAAGAATGGTTTGTTCGTTGAAGTTTTTCGGAAAGTGCGTTGAACGATTGTAGCATGCATGGAGCACTTTTGGCATCATTACCACACGGTCCATACATCATTTGCATACACAGAGCATTATAATACTCTGGATCATTCAACTCATCAGGTATTTCAGCAGATATGATGCCAACTGGTCCTCAGCATTATATGATCTGTCAAATACTCTTCTGCAATTTCTAACTGGTCCCAATCTTGATTTATATAAATTCATATTTGGGAGTAGGAATTGTGATTCTAAGCTCACATTTGAGGCGTAATTTACCAATCGACAACTAAATCTATTTTTTGAGGTCTACATATCAAACCTTTTAAGATTAGTCCGGTTGCAACATACATTTGTAATCATATGATATTTAAGGGCCATATTTGATGGATATTGCTGGAAAAAAAGTTGGAATTTATGTGGGTAAAGTAAATATTGTAAACATAAATGACATTATCAATATGTTATCTCAGGCTAATGAGATTGTCAGAAAAAATATGTTATCCATGAGTGAACACGGATACACTTTTTACACCTTTTCTTTGCATCTATAAGGTTATGTATATATGGTTCTGATTTAATAATTAGCTTAGTCTATATTCTGCTTTTCAAAAGCACAATATATACTGGCCAAATAAATAGATAGAAACTGAGAGAGTATTTCCTAAGCTAACTTTTATACACCATTGTTTAATCACTGCAAGTGCCAATCTAAGCTAGTGATATTTTTGGGCCAGTATAAAGGATGCTCAAAATTAGGAAAGATTCTATGGAACCCTGTTTTTTACACTATTGTTTAAAGACTGCACGTTTGTTTCTTGTTCTCTCGAAGCTTTTAGAGTCTCTTCCAGCTTAAATCTGAGACTTTCAGCAAGAGAAGATTCTCGGCTACCTTTGTCATCGTATCCTTTGACCTTATCTTGAAGAGAGTTTAGCTTTTCCATTAATCCTTATGCTTCAAGGCCCCTTTGAGTCCACTTATGGATATCAGTTTCTAGTTCCGTTTGTGTTTCTGAAAGTTTGGCTAAATTAATTATGCATCAAGTAATTGAAATACCATAATAGACTATTAAGTACGGAGTAGTTCGTATGATGTACTATTGTTCTCAACTACTCCGTATATCCAAAAAGGTTATCCTAAGTATATATAAAGAGTTTATGATCATAAATTCATAAGTATTTCTAAAACCCAAAATGTCTGTATGTTATACTACTTAGTACTTAGCTTTGAAATATCAATATCTACTTTTGACAACATCGTCAATTTTAAGCATACATTGTGCTTGGTCAGTATCATACAGTTTCATATCAACATCATTATTCTTCTTGTTTGAAATTAAGTGTTCATACTGCCTAACCTATTGATGTCTTTGATAGATTTCTTTAAGTGCATGTATAGTTGAAGCAACAATGATATGCAATAGATTAAGAGAAATTCCATTATGACGTGCTATCATTTCCTTGAAATTTTCAGTTCCAGTTTTTTTATATATAAAACCCAAACAATTAACAGATGTGTGAACAGAATTAAAGCTTACCTAGACATGTAAGATAATTTCCAGTGTTTGTTCTTTTGTGGAATGGATGACTATCTCATAAGTCACTCTTAACCTCAAATCCTCAATGCCTGAGTTGCTTTTGGGTTGTCAACATTCCCAAAGAGAGAGACCACATGTTTGTCATGGTTGTGGTAAGGTCGAATGAGATTTGGTCTCAGAATTGTCCTTTTTTATAGTAGGGTTGAGGCTGCTTATAGTGCATTCAACACATGTATTCAAAACTGTAACATCGTACTCCGTAATATCCAACAAATAATTGAAAACAATTGGATAAGTACAATGCCTTTAATTACTGTACAGTCCGAATGAAAATGTGATTGGACTAAACATCAAGGAAAGTCACGTTCATAGGCAAAATAATAAATGCTGAATTGCACTTGAATCACTCGTATTCTAAAAAAGGATGACACTCCATCCCTGAGAGCCCCCAACACCGACTGGACGACACGATGAGAGGATGTAAATTGGGCTATAATCACAATCTGATAGATAGAGAGTGAGGCTCTGTCCCCAGTACTTGCAGAGGCCTTATGCATTTTTCAGCTTAGTAACCCCTCATCGAAGTTGCCGGGATTCGAACCCGAAACCTAACCCTTGTAACACTCCCTTGTTACCAGTTGAACTACAAAATTAGAAAGAATTACTCCTATTCTAAAATGGTAGAAAAATTATTTTGTGAGGATTCAAGATGAGATTTTGCAAGATATGGATACGTTGGATTTTAAGCATCGAAACATGCAATTACCACCTGACAACCTGTACGCTTGTACTGTGCAGTGGGAAAGGTCGTAAACTCTTCGCAGCAACATTTAATAATTCTGGCTCACAACACTAGCACAATGGCACGTTTCTTTAGGCGGGAAAATGGCCTTATTTTCCACTTCTTTTTCTATTTTTTTTTAATCAAATTTAATTATGTAAAAATAATTCTAAAAATAATTTGATTGCGGACAGGGATCTGTTTGCTTTATCGTCGGTCAAGCATCGTAAACCGAATTGTCCCAAACATAGTGGGATGGAGGTAGTATTAAAAATTTTAGAGAAATGGTCCCATATAGGACTAAAAATAAGAGTATGTATACGAATAGGTCCTATGACTTTTTAACTCCTAAATAGGAGTAATTTTTTCCCGTGTTCCAAATTTACCCCTATTTCCTCTTACTCCCTATCTTTGTTGCTCGTCTCTACAATTCCAGAAGTTCTCACCGAAGGGCCAGTCTCTCTCTTCGTATGGACAAATTCGGCCAGCTACATTCTCTTCCAAATGTAGCAGATGAGCAAAGTGGCGAGAACAAGATGGGACAGCGACCAACCAGCGCCACCGACACTGCGGCGACGTGGCTACGGCAGCATGTCATGGCGAAACAGCGGCGGCGGCGGAAGAGCTTTATTGTACAGAAAACTCGGCAGCAGCGGGATGAGAAAACGGTGATGGTGGCTGGAGCCTGAGGCCCTTCACCTCCTCGTTCTCCTCCTCCTCCTCCCTTCTTCTTCGTTGTTTCACACGGCAGGATGAGAAAACGGCAATGGCTGCTGGAGCCAGATCTATAATATATTTTCCGCCGGCGTGCTGTTTTGGAACTACAAAGCTTTTCTTTTGTGCAAATGTGTTGGGCGGTAGTTAATTGCACTTCGAAATTTCCGCTCAGCAACTCCAAATTGCACTTTTCCTTTTCTTTTGTTTTGTGGCTTCTTTCTCTGGGTGTTGTTTCATTTTCTTTTTGTTGTTTATTGATTTATTCTGATTTTGGGGTTTTATCTAATTCCTTTTTCAATTTGCAACTCCAGTAGTTAGTTGTTTCGTTCAAATTTTTATCTACTTATTTATGATTATTTCGTTAATTCATTTTAACCATCAACTCTTATAATTAGCCTCATGTCGACAAGATAATTGTTAGTTTATTCAAATGTCATTGTTATTGCCAAATCCCGTTATGCATTGTAATATGTTTTTACAATGACATTGTTATATTGCTAATGACAACGATGTTCTTAAGTGATTTTGACATTGTGACCTTTTTTTATAATGTTGATATCTGCAAAGTGGCTGATTAGAATGGTTGATTTGATTCGGGCTTTATTACCAATGTCATGACAACAAGTGACATTTTATTGACATTGGCGTTATTACTAATGTCACTATTTACCAATGTCATGACAACAAGTGACATTATATTGACATTGTCGTTATTACTAATGTCACTATTACAATGTCATTTTTATAGCATTGACATTGACATTATTACAATGTCATTTGAGTACGGGAAGCGGCAGTTGCCGGAGCACAAACAAGGCAGTCATTGACATTATATTTAGTAATGTATATAGTGATTGAACATTCACGATATTGTTATTGACACTACATCATTACAATATCGTTTTTATAACATTGGAATTATCATTGTCATGACATTGTCAAAACTTTTAACAATACCAGTACGGGCAAAATAAATAATGTTAACATTGTCACATCTTTATAATGTTTACGATAATGTGACATTAACATTGTTTTTAACAATGTCATTTTATAGCATTAACATTGTCATGATATTGAGATTGACATTTTCACAACATTGTCAATGTCATTATTTAATGTCATTTTTATAGCATTGATATCATCATTATCTGATATTATAATATTTTTTGATATTAAGACATTTTTAATACATTTAAACAATGTTGGAAATATTTTTGACATTGCAAATATTGCTTTAACAATGTCATTTTATAGCATGACATTGTCAGGCTATCTAATTTTGTGACAATGTTTACAATGATATTGTTTATTGTATGAATATTTATAGGTGTTTAACCATTGTCGTAACTATAATTTGACAATGTATTTAATTAATTTATTTGCTAAAAATTATCTTCCCAAAACATGGCCTGGTTTGCTAATAATATTATTTGCACATAAACACTACCACCTGCTCGGTTGCTCGGGCTGGTATATTTCAGATCTAATAAAACTACCACTGCAATTTACCCGTATAATATTTTCAATAGGTTTCAATCGGTTCCGAAATAAACACTACCACTGCAAAAATTTGTCAAAATAAATAATGAACCCAGAATCTGATCTGCAAAATAAAATAAAACAAAAAAATGAAAAGTAAAACATCAACAACAAAAAAGCTACGGAAAAATAGGGGAAGAAGAACAACCCACAAAAAAACGAATAACGGATCTACACTTGTGCAAGATCCACACTTTGGCAGATCTATGGGCATAGAAGAATATCCTAACGGCTTGGAAGAGGGGAGACAGGAGGAGGAGCCTATCAGGAGTCCCGACAATGCCATCGACGACCACTCCGGTGATGACTCGAACCGGCGAGCTCTCCGGCGGAAATCAGCGGCGTGCGGACCGGCAGTGCTGACCTCCGATCGTTATCTGTGTGCGGCATGAACGATAACTCTGTCTGTATGCGCTTGCCTAGCTATATCGGTAGCAGAATAGCAGATTTAGACATTTAGTGGGAGCGGGCATATGCAGGGGTACTTTTGTCCCTCCATTCAAAATTAATCTTATTTAGGGGTTTAAAACTCGTAACTCCTATTTACCTTCCTAACACTTTTTTTAGTCTTATTTAGGTCTATTTCCCAAAATTTTATTAGTTCACCTATATTAGAACATTAATCATTAATTAATTAACAGCAGCTCGGCCATCATTTTTCATTCACAAAACATTCCAAAACACATTAAAAGAACATTAAAATACATCTCACATTAAAGCATTAAACAAATGTGAAAATCACAAAATAAAGAATGTATATCCTTATGGATATACATTAGTGCTATCCATATCAGTCTGCAAACAAAATAACATATACTTCGTATGAAATTAATGCAAAAAACAATACCAAACGTATGACCACAATAAAAATCATGGGCACAAACTAACTTTTAATACCCAGTGAGGCAGTGCCCATAGTAATGTTCAGTTATACACAGCATTTACTATGATCATACTTTTGTTATGACTATAGTAACTATGTGACATATTTGTTCATGACATCTATTTTAGTAATACTATCAGAATATAGGAAAAGCCCATTAAATATGATAGATGCATTTTTTTACATGACAGATGCATTTGAGAAGTAATGCGATGACCATTAAAGAGTGCGAACCATAGCTTTTTTGGAGTAGATATTCCTATATGTGAAAGAGATGTTTGAAATCATGGCACTCATGAAAATCCAGTCCAGTTGAAAAAGAGCTCAGTCAGTGAAGCCACCGACACGCCTAAATCCCGTATGACAATAAGCTTGTAAGATAACAAAAACATCCAAGCTTTAGTCCCAAACAGTTAACAAAAACATCAAAAAAACAAAATGAGAATGGCATGAGGAGCTAACTGAGAACAATAGGGGCGAGTGAGAGCCATAATGTCAAGGGTATTTGTTGTCCAAGTATGAACTGAGAGGCAGCATCATTAAATAAAGGCTATAGAACTGCAGCAAAATTGATATAATAATACATTGATGTTATTATTGGAGCCATTTCAGTCTATAGAAAAAATGAAGGGCCCAGAATATATAAAAACGTATGAGGACTTGAAGAAGATAAATCAAATTGGGAAGATGAAAAAGTATCACCTGACTAAAGTTATAAACAGAAATATCACACCAAATTCAACATTTCCTATACACATAACTCACATGCCCAACCATAGCACAACCTTAGTGCAAAGCTAGTCCGTGGACCGCATCGCCCGGACTTCGTCCGGGCAGAATGTATTTTCCTATTTTATTTATTTACTAAGTGTTGTACTCAGGCACTCAGCCCATTAGTGGCCTTATTCGCCCAAAGAGGGCATGATTATTGTAATGGGCCTCCTAAGCCCAAGGCTAGGGGCCCAAATCCACATTTTTACCTATAAATTGACCCCAAGGGGCTAATTATAGGGGGTTGAGAAATATAATTACTCACTTTCTCTCTCTATCTCTCTTCTCTCTAGAATTAATACTCTATCACCGGCGTACTGTGCTTGTCTCTTCTGATTTCGGCTACAGGGGAATGATGTTAATATAGACGTCCGTCCTTTGTGAGCAGTATCATGTAATCAAACCTCAAGCAATCTAATCTTTCCATTTCTATGAATCTATAGTGTATACATACAAATAATCAAATCACAGTCATCAGACCCTTCACCGACCTCATATTCTTCAAAGCCTAAGGCTTCAAAGTTCAAATATATAGGTTATGGGGGTGTTTGGAACTGATTCTGTTTTTGCTTCTCTTTTAAAGCAGAAACAAAATCAGAATCAGAATCAGTTTTCAAAAATTGGTCTCCTCCAGCTTCAAAAAGGTTGGACATTTCAAACATATCATACTACATTAAATTCACATATCGGAATTAATTGAAATTGATTATGGACATAACTTAAGACGTTTTAGTAAACGAAAAAATAATAACATAAAGTGATATTTAAGGTATAGAGCAGTGATCACTTATACTCACCGTTACACTCCTAATACTCAAAAGAATAACTTTGATGTTCATCAAAATTGCATCAACGCTCATATAAGAGAATCTGCGATTTTCACAAAAAGTACAAGTTTGCCACCAGCTGTACAGTGGTCACTGTACAACCGGTTGTACAGTATATGGACTCAAGGAAATATGATGGAGCATTCTTCTAGGAAAAAATATCCACATAAGAAAGAATAAAATATATACTCTCTACGATATTTATTAATGAATAAAAAAAGTAAATTTTAACAACAATCTATTATCTCTTGATTGACGCGGCTACACAAGTGGTGCATCATAAAAACAGATAAAAAAAAATACACTTAGTGAGGAATATACTTTTAAAATTTTATTTCCTATATTAAAGTTATAAATTTTTATTTCCTATGTTTAGAATGAAATTGTATTGGGGGATTAAATTTCAATTTCACCAATAGTTAAAATTTCATTCATAGCTTTATCACAATCTTGAAATGTGATATGAGAACAATACTTTTGTATTTTACCGATAAGAAAAGGAACGGCACATCATATATGTTTGAATAGTAAAAAATGTTGCTGATAATGTTAATGTTAATTGGGAAAAGAAGTGAGTGTATCTATTTATGAATAACAATTTGTTTCGTCTTGTCCTGGTGAACTGTGTGAAAACTTATACATGCAGGACTACATGTATAGAAGACAAGAAAGATATTGTTCGCAATAGCTACCATAAAATTTTTCATTTGCATCATAGTCCCAAAGATCACTCACCGTCGAAATAGGAACCCTCTTCTCATTTTCTGAGACATGACCAAGGAATTCATCACCTGAAAGATTAGAGCATGATTCTCCAAAAGCCTTTTCGAACTCATCATTGCCAGTGAAACCTGTATTTGCATAGTCCCAATCAGAAACCGCAAGATCACTTAAAGCATTGTAATACCCTCCTTTCTCATTCTTATCAACATGCTCCGAATTCTTCTGTGTCCTAGAAGATTTCCCTTCAATAGTGGCTTTCAATCTCAAACTGTCAAGGTTATCCAAAGTAGAGACGAGAAGTCTCTCAAATTCACGGAGTAGAAAATGAGAGAGTGATTCCACCCCATTTGTTAAGGTTGCCTGAAAGAATTCCTTAAGATTTTCAACAGAATCGGGAGTATGTTCAATGCCCTGCACCTCATCTAAAGTAACCAAATCCAAAGAATGATGGGAAGAATTTAAAAACTCAATATCAGCTTGTAGTAAAGCGCCCGAAATGGAAGTTTCAGGTTCATAGTTATTCCCATTAGGCAAAAATTCTAATACATTATTGCCAATCATCTCATCATTCTTACTTGAAATAAGTTCAAGTGCTAATGTTTACACGAGAAAATTGTTTACCCACTCAAAACTTGAATACTCAAAAGAGAATGTACAAAAAGAAGAATCAGAGATCACACCTTATGAGGACAAGATCTCAAGCACGAGCGGGTCTTTGAAGACTATTCTGAGGGTTGTGGTTTTTTACACCGGGTTTTTAAGGAGGGTTTTTTTTCTTACTCTGGGTTGGGCATCTCTCTTATTTGTTCGTTTTTATTTACTTTATTTTCTTTTCTTAGCTTTATTTTCTTTTCTTAGCTTTATTGTACTCTCGAGATTCCTTTTAATAAAATTTCCTTATTTAAAAAAAAAAAAAAAAAAAAAAGCTACCATAAAATTTTTAGAATTTACAAAGGCCACTTAGTTTATAAGCACATTCAAACTTTGATAATGCAACTAGGAACACAGAAAACACAAGCCATAGCAAGAATCATAAATGAAGAGAACGATGAATCACTAGTGGAAAAACCGCAATTTGCGGCATTGGGTTTGTGGCGGTTTTGAAATAACCACCACGGTTTAATTTTAAAAAACAAATTGTGATCAATGAATTGATGACTAAGGGTTTCCTGTTTGACTGAAAGAAACAAGACTTTCCATGTATGCAAAAACTCCTTCACAGGACGTATGACCCGTGCACCTAAGCTCACATACTTCTTCTATAGCCCATCAAATCCTTGGAGTCAGGAACGGATCCAGGATTCTGAGTCAAGGGGGGCGAAATTTTTCGTTAGTGTAGGGGGTGAATTTTTTTTCGTTAGTGTAGCGGGGTGAATTTTTTTTCCCTAGTGTAGCGGGACGAAATATTTTCGCTACTGTGGGGCTATGCGGCTATTTTTATTCAAAAAATGACATTAATACATGCACATCCCGAACGGCATTTAAATCTAATACATTTTAAGTTTAGACGATGACAAAGACATCAACCAATACATTTTTAATAACTTCTACATTGTTTAACCTCATAAATCGGTTATTGAATTGTAATTTTTGTCCACCAAGGAGGGTGTTCGTGAGTCATGACTCATGAGAAGTTTTCTTAATATTACAATAGTAGTATACTAGTATGTATGAGATTGTTATTTTTAGAATAATGTGCACCACATACACACACACATATATACGGCGCATATTATATTTTAATATTTTTATTAATTCGATAATAATTTAAAGTTTATTATCCATGCAATAAATTATTTTTAGAAACCAAGAAGTAAATGAATTATGTAATCTAATGTCTATAAATATTTATATTTTGGATTCATTTCACGTGATATAAAAATTGTGTAATTAGTGTGTCTAGTATTTAATATTGTTTGATATATGTTTTACAAAATCCAGTACTTGTTATCTAATAAAGATAATTAAACATTACAAAACTAGGAATTCTTATATAATAAGTATCCTAAATCTTAAATAACGAGTTACTCTATTGTTTATTTGTTTAAGTTATGTAAATTATTTTAGATGTTTATTCTTTCAAATCTCCAATTAAGTATTACATTATGTAAGACTATATACTAACTTTGAAAATTAAAAGCTAAGGGGGGCGAATCTAATTAAATTATGAAAGTTTTATGAAAATATTACATATATGTTAAAAAAAATTGAATGTCCAAGGGGGGCGGTCGCCCCCCGCGCCCCCCCCCTAAATCCATCCCTGCTTGGAGTATGAGACTACTGTCCTTCCATATGCCAACAGGGAACCAAAGACCAAAGACAAACTCCGGTTTCACACTAAACTTTTTGGTCCAGCAGGACCCCTCATCCCATGTCCAAATATCACAAAACTTCTCTCTCATGAAGAGACAAAAAGGCGAGAGAATCATCATACACACCTAGACAATTGGAACTGGGTTGTGCATAGCCTGGAACATCCATTTCTTTAAATTGATCATTAGCCATGTCAAAAGATATGATCACCTCATCTTGCAAACATTGGTACTCTGTGTACCAATAACAACATCCATTCCCATAAATGTAGCATTTATTTATTTGCAAGTTGTAATGTTTAGCCAGATCTCCACAGTATTTCCAAGAATCTGTCCTTAAAGAGTAGACATGGACAGATCGGAGTAGCGTCTTGAGATAACTTTCATCATCGGTAGCCAGAAACCGGTAGTCAGAAACCGTTCTTTGATAACAACCACCTTATAATTGTCACTGGTAGCAGGATATAGCCCAAAACCATGAACTTCAAACTGGTCGTGTGTGGAAACGTTTGACTTAGAAACTATTTTAGGCAAGACCTTCAATTCATTTATGGCTGGATTCCACAAAGCACAGTGACCATAGGCATAATGGTACAATCCGTACAAATAATATATTCCATCACAAGGGCTGCTGATAAATGAGCCGTATTGAGGCATGTCATACAACACTTCAGTAGCAAAAACTTGGGGAGTTCCATCCATAAATAACTCATACAACAGGAATTCACCTTGAGAAACATAATGCTGCATTAGAAGACACTCATCCAAACCTCATTGTTGCTGCTATGATAGTAGTTTTTCATATGCTTCGATATGAATTGAGGACTTGATATTATAGCATGCCATGTTTTGCTCACACTCTTGTAGCAGTTCTTTTGCTGGCAGCCACGAGAGAACCTCTATGATCACGCTCAAGGTTTTAAATAACCGTAGCGGCAGCGGTAGCGGTCATCGCGGTAGCGGCCTGTAGCCGACTGTAGCGATTGCAGCAGCGTGAAATATTTTCAATCGATATTAAAGTTATATCATCTTTATTAATAATTAATTTGGCTTTAATAATTATAATTTACATGTTTATTAATATTTGCTACCATAATGTGGATAGATGTACATTTCATTTGGAGTTTCACTCCACACATCACCATCAATGTATTTTTTCACATCATTCACACAACATAGACACATTTACACATCAACCTGTTCGTGACGTACTGTCGGAAATGCCAATAGCGGGCTGTAGCGGGCGGCGTAACGGATTTTTCTCGTGATTTGAAATTCACAGCGGAATAGCGGGCCGTAGCGGTAGCGACCCCTACCGCGACCGCTATATAGCGGCCGCTATAGCGGTAGCGGGCCACTATTTAAAACCGTGATCACGCTTTCATGCAAATGATCTACTTCCGAGGAAAAAGGAAAAAAAAACTTATCTCTAAAAAACATGAAGAATGGAAAGCAAATATAAATGCAAGGTATCCCACAACAAGTGATACAAAGAACTCACCTTTCTTTCAACAGTTGAGTAAAACGGCTGTCCTGTTTGCCCTTGTGTAACGTTGTAACGACAAAGCCATTGCTGCAACAGAAACACAACAAATCAACAATAGTAATGATGGCAGATTACTCCATAAGATAAAAAGCCTAAAGTTTTCTAAGAAAGCAAAAAAAAAAAAGTGCAGCAATCAACAGTGTTTTCAGATTCTATTCTTAAAAAGCAGAGTCCTGCGATACCAATAAACAGAAACAAGGTACCTGGTCGAAGAAGCAAGAAACGGCACCTCCCTCCCATAGATCTTCTGCCGTTCTGCTTGGACTAATACCAATCTAAGCTAAAAAACGGGAGGGATTTTGAGAAAGTTGTGGGGTTTGATTGGCAATATTAATTAATACTCCCTATAATTAAGGCCCTAACGGTTTAGCCATTTAGGAATTTTGAGACCTATCGATTCTCCTCTGGAGTCTGGGCTCTACAAATTATCCCACACCGGGGGTTTACAGAAAGGTAAACTACTACTACGTGTAAATTATCATAGATGAGATAACAGTCTGTAATCTACGTGAACTGGATCAGAAAGTTTCTTAGTATTGAACATGCTTCCCTCATGTGGTGCTTGAAGTCAGGCTATGAAGGATCCGTTTCTTCATACAGAACAACCTTCCCTTTTTTTTGTGTTCATATTTAGGCGCGACCACCTTTTCCGACAACTGCGTCTGTAGTCCAATGGCTAAAGGATAATTGCCTTCCAAGCAATAGATCCGGGTTCGAATCCCGGCAGACGCACTTCTATACTTTTTTTTATCTGTTCAGTTTTTCCATTTTTTGGTAACAGTATAGCAACCAAGGTAATTTAAACAATAATGGGGAACTCTCTCTATCATACTGAAAATGCCTTTCTATTTTCCATTTTTTTAAACATGAGCGGGTACGAACCAAGGTAATTTAAACGGCTAGATTTAAGAAAACTCATCAATTGAAATTCCATAGTTTATACGTAGTATATGATACAAATTACACATAATATAATTTATGCATATGTAACACTTTCACATAATATAGACATATAGGGGTGTTTGGAACTGATTCTGCTTCTGCTTCTTTTTTAAAAGCAGAAGCATAATCAGAATCAGTTTTCAGAAGCTGGTATCCCCCAGCTTCTGAAAAAATTGATTCTGGGAGTAAATTAGAGCACCAGAAGTGCTTCTGGAATTTCACTCAAACACTCCAGCTTCTACTTCTGCTCCCTGAAGGAGCAGAATCAGTTTCGAGAATCAGATCCAAACACCCCCATAGTTGAAGAGATCTTACATAACTATCGGTCTATGTCTATTATACCATGATTTATGAAACGTAACTTAAGTGTATTGCTGAAGTTACTGTAGATGGTCATTTTAGTTAATTTTGCATATAATTTTTCTTTGTTTTATTAATAAAATATATTTTAAAACTATTTTTTCTTAAACTAGCAGAATCAGCTAATGCAGTCACTTTAGCCAGAACTTCAGAAATTTCAGCAAATTCGGCCAATTTTGTGCTACCAAACGGGCTCTAAATTTCTTACATACCTGATACCTATCATACCAAGATCTACATACCATGATTTATAACTTTCTCAAATTCCATGATTTATAACTATCATGTCGTTTAACCAGAGCCGGCCATAGGCCAAGTTTGGCCAGCCATTTGCCTAGGGCCTCAAATTTTAGAGGGCCTCAAAAAAATATTTATAATTAATATACCTAGTGTGTTAAATGAAAATGGATTGCATGATACTTCCTCCACTCAGTATAATTGATAAATGTTTATAAATTGCGGCTTCTGGGTTATAATCGGTCGGTATGGGTCATCCACGGTATCCACCCATTCATATACTTAAGCTAATTCTTAGTTTACTTTATGATTTTTTTAGGCTAAAGGGTCAAATAGATACATGAACTAACTTAAAGTGTTCAATTAGCCCCTTATATAGAAGGTTCTGCCCGGCCGTCGCCAATTGGGGCGGTTCCCGGTGGAATTTTTTGATGAATTTTTTTGAGAAACTTCTTCATTAAGTCTAGTTTACTCATACCAAATTTCAGCTAAAAATTCAACCGGGCATGTTGGGAGTCGATTTCTTTCCGGCTCAGGTCTCCAACCCTTTTGCTATACTCTCACACACCACCCTAGGCTAGACCACAACACAACTCCAAGCTTCTTCTCTACCACTAAGGTATTCTCTCTCACACTCTCACACAAAGGAAATGGAGAAGAAGAAGAAGGGCACTGCTCTCTCTATAATTCACGCAGGCTACTTCAACAAGGGAGAAGCAAAGCTACTAAATAATAGGCTGGTAGACACAAGGACACTCACATGTGATGCAAAGACAAGGAGGGCAGCACAGGACAGCTCAAAGGGGTCACTCCACATAAGTCAAAATGGCCATATTATTGGTTAGGAAAGATTCAAACGAGAAGTGCCAAAGTGGGAGTAAACATGGGGTGCAAGTCAATAATAAAGTGGAAGGGAGGCCTTGGTAGGACCAATACCTCCAACATTCTCCACCTTATTGGTCCTAGGTGGTGTAGAGTAGCAATACAAAGTTGTGAGGAGACTCATCATCGCCGGACCATTACAAGTACATCATTGCGATCATACAAGTAATAGATGAGAACCAAAGTTCCCTTTCGGACCAAGCTTACCGTGCAAACCCACTTCACGATGGACTGAACTCTACCAATCGGTCCTCGAGTTCAGAACCAAAACCATCACAAAACTATTAACAAGCACAACACATGTTAATAGACTACGCAAGCAAGCATCCGGGAGAAGTTGGGGATTCCAACTAATCCAACAACCACACAAAGCAAGTACACAGAAAATAAAAGAAATAATATTATTTCTATAACTAGCACAGGTAGAGCTCACATAATCACTTGGTATCACATTTTCAAAACACAAAGAAAATAGCATACCAAATATCACAAAGATTTTAATTAATAGAGAATTAAGCACATTTAAAGCAAATTCAGAGGAAATATAGTCAAACACATTGCACATATTATTTCTCACATGCTTCCTAATGTCTCTATCTCTAATAACATGGCAATCACGCAACTCAAGCATATTGCACACAACATTCATATCATGCTCCACCTTAATAGAAATATTATTTTCTTTATTTTCAACATGAAAAACATTTTCATTCACAAATTTGGGTTTGGTTTCAACAAGTAAATCGGAATGAACTTCAACAGGCAAATGCTCCACCTTATTTGGAGCAACATTAGGAGAAACAAGCAGGCAAGGAAATTCATTTTCAACAAAAATGGCATTTCTACTCATCAACACATTGAAGCAAGTTTCACTCCTACACCAAAGCCTATAACCTTTCATGCAATCATGATATCCTAAGAAAACATATTCCTTAGTCCTAGGTTCAAATTTATCATTCAGACGATTCACATAAGCAGCACAACCAAACACTCTCAAATTTGGCAAGTCAAGTGGTTTGCCCATGAACACAGATTCAGGGCATTTTCCTCCTAAGGGAACAGACGGGGACAGATTAACCAAATCAACAGCATAACAAATAGCTTCCCCCCAGAACTTATTAGAGAGCCCAGATGAAGCTAACATAGCCCTCACCCTCTCTAATAAAGTTCTAACCATCCTCTCAGCAACCCCATCCGGTTGGGGTGTGGAGGGAACAGATTTATGCATAACAATACCCCAAGTATCACATAAATCATCAAGCTGACTATCACATAAATCAAAACTGACTGTGGTCCTTAAAACATTAATTTTCTTACCGGTTTGTTTTTCAACAAGGGTTTTCCAGTTTTTAAACTTATCAAAAACTTCAGATTTATTCTCAATCAACAAAACCCACACTTTCTTTGAAAAATCATCAATCAACGTCAGAAAATAATTTTTCCCACCATGAGTGGAAACACTATAAGGACCCCACAAGTCAGCATGAATACAATCAAGCAGATTAGTACACTTAGGCAGATCAGGAAAACCAACTCTAGACTGTTTTCCTAGCACACAGGGTTGCACACAATTCACAGAATCAAGTACGGGTTCAGCATGACAAACATACAAGTTGTTTTTCATCTCAGCTTTGAAAACAACTAAACAACCCTTCACAACTTTCATGATTCCCTTTCCCCATTTTCCCTTCAAACCCTCATTTTCAAGAGAAGCACAAGATAGCAAATTACAACACAGCTCAGGAACATGCCTAACATTCTTCAAAGTAAGCACATAACCAGAAGAAAACCTAAGGCATACATCTCCTATTCCTAGCACATTGCATTTCTTCTCATTTGCTAAAAACACAAAGCCATGCTCAATCTCTCTATAGTTTGAAAAAACATTTTTCATAGGGGACATGTGAAAACTACAACCAGAATCTACCACCCAATCTGATTTACCCAAGGAATCAGATATCACAGAACTCAAATAGTCATAATCACATAGATTTTTCATCATAAAAACATCACCTAAATCATCTACACACGTAGTCAAATTAGCATGCTCACTATGCTCATTTTTCTTAGATTTAGGACAGTCTCTTATGAAATGACCAGATTCGTGACAATAATAGCAACGCCTCGAATTAGACCTAGACTTAGATCTATGTCGTCTACTATTATTTTCTCTACCCCTCACATGCATAACTTCCTCGGATTTTCTACCCTCACCCATCTGTTTTAAATCTAATTCCTTACTCTTAAGACCATTTATCACAATGTCAAGAGTCACATTATCTCTACCATACTTGATAGCAGATTTCACATCACCAAAGGAATCAGGAATAGCATTTAAAAGAGCAATAGGGGAATAATCATCTATATGCTTATCACCACACAACTTAATATCCGAAATAAGTTTGGTAAAAACATCTAGATTTTCTTCAATATCTATAGACATATCGAGTCTAAATTTGAAGAACTTTTCAAGTAAAAATATCCGGTTAGGCAAAGAGGTCTCAGTATACAGTTCATTCAATTTATCCCACAGAATTTTAGCACTCTCTAAAATTCCAACTTTTCTAATCACAGAGTCAGATAAGTTCAAATAAATCACAGAACATGCATTTTCATTCATTTCAGCCCTTTTATCTTCCGTGTCAGAAATTAAATAGGTTTCGCCAACTGCTTTAAAACATTTTTGTTGTATTAAAATACATTTAATTTTTTGCTTCCAAATGCTAAAATCAGATTTTCCATTAAATGGAGCCATACCATACTGATTATAAGCAGACATTTTCACAGAGAAAAATAAGCAACAAAAGAAAATGTAAATTTCGCTGAAAAACAATTTAAATATTTATAAGGCTACAACTATACGGAGCAACTAGCACGAACACGTGGGGAGTATTAATGAGCACCAAACTCAACTTCAAACCCCTTGTTCTTCCGTATAAGCACAAATAAATAATAAATTTTCAGCACAACACAATACAACAATTCAATCAATTTAAAAGCAGTAATAAACCTAAAACATAATTTCTACACAATAAAAGATTAAATCACTACAAAAGCGATAAAAAGGATAAAAGTCAATATACCGGAGCGAAACCCTAGGAGAGGTGTTTCGACCTTACCCACCCAATTTAAAAATTGGGAATTTTTGGACTGTTGACTGAAAGTTGGCTGATTTTGACCAAGTCCACCAAGAGCTCCTGCTTATTAATTGCTAGCACCTTCACGTGAAATCAATTGCTAACTCCTGTGCTCCAATGTCAAGCCTCCACTTGAGTGAACACGGTCAACACCTCCAAAGCCAAATCCATGAAGTGAACTTCACGTGA